ATTTCAGCACAGCGGGGAAAAAAAAAAGTCTCTATTAAAGGGTTAGTTCAAGAATTGAATAAAAAAGAATTGTTGAATAAAGTCGTTATTTTTGTTTTCTTTGCACACAAAGTATTCTCGTAGCTTCGCAAAACTGAAGCTGAGCCACTGATGTCACATGGACTATTGTGCCGATGTCCTTACTGCGTTTCTGGATCTGGGAACATTACAGTTGCATTGCGGTCTTTGGAGGGTCAGAGAGCTTTTCGATTTCATCAAAAATATCTTAAATTGTGTTCCGAAGATGAACGAAGGTCTTACGGGTTTGGAACGACACGAGGGTGAGTAACTAATGACAGAATTTTCATTTTGGGGTGAACTATCCCTTTAACTAAAGTAACGCACCTCTTCTTCATCATCGTCGTCGTCGTAATTTCTGTTTCTGCGGACCAGGCTGTATTGGTCCTCAGGGTCATCATCTGGAGCAGGGGAGGGTGGTCCGGCCACCAGTGACCGGGAGCGTGTGTGAGGACGGGACGTTCGCTCTGGGTTTCTCCGGCGAGTGCCGCTGGCATCCAGAGAGCGGCGAGGAACACGACGAGGCTGTACAGAGAGAAGGAGAAAATTCAGTCAAACCAAGGTAAAACAAGAACTAATAATAATCTAAATTAGTAGCATTGTATTGCTCATAATAAAATAATTAAGCATTATTTCTTATTAGTAATAATGTAATTTTTTATCAATATTATTAGCATAAACAAGTTATTCATATTAACTATTGTAGACATTAATAAATTATTAGTATAATTTTATCATCAGTAGTATTAATACAATTTTTAGTCATCATTTTTTAACGACAGTACTCTGAAGTCTTACCGTATTGCCCTGTGACAAAGCAGCCCTCCTGGGAATGAGTCCAGGAACCTTATCCAGCTCTGACATTAGCTTAGCAAGCTAGAAGGAAGAGATCGCAATTCTGTTAAAACTGGATTCATACTCAAACTAATCATCATGATTATCATCATAAGAATTACATTCAAACTGCAAATAGATGAATGCATACTAATATCCAGGGTTGGATACATACCGAGTTAACTTTTAAAAAAAGCTCAATTAAACGCAGGATGCAGGTGTGTAGAAGTAGAGTTCCTCACCATAGCTTTGTTCTCTTTGATGTTCAGTGCTCTCTTCAGCATGAAGTCGTCTACCTCAGAGTCAGACTCAGGGTCTTTAGGTTCAGGTTTGGACTCAGGCGACACTGGCTTTGAAGGACTGGCCCGTTTGTTCGGGAACTTCATGGCTACTCGGAGCGTGAACGATTTGCGAGTTTTTCTGGGAGGCGAACAGGCCTCAGAATCAGAGTCCATCTTCTGTGAGGAAAAACCACTTGATTAATTGAACACATTCATCCTTTCAAAAGCCAGTATATGATAAAGCAACAAGCAGAGACTGAAGCGTTTCCTGTGGTTACAAACCATTTCTGTCATGTCGTCGTTCAGGTCGTTCTCAAAACCGCTGCACGCATCCTCTTCCTCCGTCACGGGTAAAACGCTGAACACTTTCGCACTCGGAGCAGAGCTTCTCGTCAGTCTCAGCGGTCTCTTCTATAAGAAAACAAAACCAAAACATGATCTTCAAATGATTTTAAGAGGGAGGTATAGAGAACGGTCTTTGATCTTTTGGGCATCTGCAAGGGCAGTTTAATGTATGGAAAAGTTCATGTCATACCGAGGTCCCAAAACCATCAGATCCGAAACTGTCACAGCTGTCGTCTGAGGAGGAGGTTTCCATAGGAAGCACAGCGGTGCTCCTGTAACTGTGCAGGTTCATTCTGGTGGAGGGGGGAGACCTCGCCTGCTGCCTCTGCACACAACAACATACAACACATTCATGATAAACCTGCTCAGCTCAGTCTGGCTTTCTGTGGAGGTCCGTTTGAGACATGCATCTTGGAAACAGTAACAGGCCCTGTATATTTTCTAATATTTCTCTACACAGCAAGCAATGACAATTTATAAAGTGGGCAAAGACTTGAAATCATAATTAGATAAGAATATTAAATTAAGGAGTGCAGATGGGTGAGAATTAACCTCTTCTATGTCTGGAGGCCATGACTTCTAGGCAGAAACTTGAAACCTCTTTACAACTGTATAAGTTAAATTATTTTATTTATTTATTTGTACACAGTTATTTTTGCAAAATCAAGTTATTTGTATAACGTTGAGAAATTGTATTTAAACTTTACTGGGTCAACAACAGGATACTGATACATATTTCATTATAAACAAATGTTGATTAGATGCTTTGTAAAGTTTGGGGCGACCCCTGCCCCCACTAAACACACGCCTACAAGTTTAATAAACCAGCAAAGAGTTGAAAAACAAACATAGTGCTTCTTTTTATGGGACAAACATTTATGTCCCAAACAGATAAATAACATGATCAATCGTTTGAGCTGTTAATTTCACTTTTTATAGCGTTGAAACAAACTTTACACACGCCACGAGAGCATGCATGCATGCATTCATAAACACAAACCCACACATACAATAGCAGCTGTACTTTCAGGTCAATAGAAAACAAAAGCTGATATGTTTTACTGTACCTTGGAGCGCATTGTGTGGAGTTCTTTTTATGGGACATTTATGTCCCAAACAGATAAATAACATGATCAATCGTTTGAGCTGTTAATTTCACTTTTATAGCGTTGAAACAAACTTTACACACGCCACGAGAGCCTGCATGCATGCATTCATAAACACAAACCCACACATACAATAGCAGCTGTACTTTCAGGTCAATAGAAAACAAAAGCTGATATGTTTTACTGTACCTTGGAGCGCATTGTGTGGAGCTCGCAGTGATTTGAGGGGGTGTGAGTGTATACTGTGCCTGAGTCGGCTGTGAATGTGTGTGGCTGTGTCTCAGTCGTGTGGCGCGGAGTTTAGTCTGGAAGTTGGCGGGTAATTCTTGAAGAGGCGTGACTCTCTTCCGCGCCACACGCGAGTCCCGGAAGCTCCGTAAAATTAATAAAGTAACGCAATCGAATAGGCTGAAGACACAAGAACTGCATTATCCATTTCATTATGGGTTGAGTATACACATGTTGATAAAACTGTATTAGAAGTCCTAGATTATTGGAATTAAAGTGAATAAAATCATGTCTGTTTGCGCTTACAGGATCTTTAGCTGTGGCGCCAAACCTCAGAGCTCATTTGCATAAGGACACATAAATCGCGCGAAAAACTGACTAGATAAAACGAGCAGAGTTCATTTCAAGTTTATATTTTATTAATATCTTATAAATTGACAAAAGTTTAAAATTCCACCAATATAATAAATAAATCTTTAATATCATATAAATTAAATAGTCCTCCATAATAAAATATTTAACAATCTAACCTCGTTTGCCTTGCAGGCAGAGACGGTTTAATTGAAAAAAGTCCTCTGCTATGACCAGCATCACTTAAGTGTTTAGCATAGTTCAAATACATAAGAAACCCTTTAAAAAGAAACAAAAGAAAATCAGAGACCACAAGAGAGGCAAATTCAAGTTAAAACCTGGAAGGCAATGTCAACTATGAAAGAACAGAGAAAAGCTCTTTTTTTCAGAAAATGCATAATTTATGACATTTAAAATCAGTATATCCATTTCATGGTGAACTTTTACCCTTTATCAGTGTCAATTTTGAAGATGCTTTTATTGAATCCCCTAGGAACACTTAAGTGCTTTGGTTATAAGCCAACTCTCCAGCCCTTACAGTGGATCAAACGTGATTAATCATCAACCCCTTCTAACACCGTGTCCTAAACATAGACTGTATAAAAACATGGACGTAGTGTCCGTGACGTGACCCGTAGGTTTCTGAAGAGCGTTTTTGAAGCTCAAAAGTGGGCGGAGCCGGCCGTCTCCATCTTGGCAGCGCGTCACTCCCGGATAATCGAAAATGGGCAAAGAGGCGGGAGCAGGGTGCTGAAGCCACGCCCACCTAGCTCGACGGTGGTGACAGCAGCGGCAATCCACCCTGTCACTCAAGTGGCCGCCCTTAGTTATGCAGAACTTTAAGGCTTAATATAATTTAAACGGATGAGTTATAAAAAAATTCACCCCCCTCACAGTTGTCATCAAGGGTTTTGCCGGTTGGTCCTAACTACACGCGACACGACAAGATTCCAGCGTCAAGCAATATGGGTGTCCAAACTAGACAAAATCAATCAAATATCACAGCCAATCAGAAGCGTGTGTGGGCGGGCTCTCTCTGGAAGCGCACTGCACTCGCAACGAAATGGATACGTTTATAATCTAATTCATAAATATCAAACATTTTTAACATCGTTAAATGTACATACTGAGTGACTGATACCATCTTTGTCATCATGGAAAACGCTTGTTAGTTCGCAATGTGTTCGCAGTTTTAATGTACATGTTTGCTTTAATTTATTTTCAAAATCTGAGGTTAACTATCTGTTGTTGCTTTCAGTATGGCTATAAGCTCACGCAAAATGATATTCAAACTCACATTAGACACGTTTAAGTTTTTATAAAGTGCATAATCACCTAAGATTATCTACTGTCGTATAGTTTGTATGTTGTTGTTCCAGCCGCGACATCGCGGAAATAGAAACCATTGTAGAAACCATAACACCGTGTCCTAGCTACATGCAATGCGAGGCCACGACAAGTGATAAAAGGTATCTTTTCCATGTTAATCAGAGGTTTTGTCCTAACTATAGCCACGACGGCGACACGTGAAATTTCTATTGTAGAAATGGTTTCTATTTCCGCAACGTCGTGGCTGGAACAACAACATACAAATTATACAAATTAAATAATAAAACTGTGAACTCAATGCGAACCAACAAGCGTATTCCATAACAAAGATGGTATCAGTCACTCAGTATGTAAATTTATTAATCTTAAAAAGATTTAATATTTATGAACTAGATTATAAACGTATTTCGTTGCGAGTGCAGTGCGCTTCCAGAGAGAGCCCGCCCACATGCATTTTTGATTGGCTGTGATGTTTGATTGATTCTGCCGCGTCGCGTCTGGTGTGGACAGACACATTGTTTGTCGCTGGAATCTTGACTAGTTAGGACACGGTGTAACGCTTTATAAGCACTCAACTTCGGCCACGCCCACCGCCTCTCCCTCCTCTGCGCGGCCGGCCTCTGCCCTGCCTCACTTCCTGGTGCTTATGTTCCTGTTTATTAGGTTTCTTTCTTTCTACTTTAATCCAGTCCCCATCACCAGACCGGGCCTCTTCAGACGCCCCTTTCTGCTTCACCCCCTCAGTGACAACGGACATCCCCGGTATTGGGCGTTGGTGGTTAGACGGTGTTATATAGGAGTTGTTGTTTCGGGGCCGTCCAGCATGTTGCAAGCCTCTGGATCCTCTCTGTGACATCTGATTAGGCCTTCTGGCTTCCACTTCTGCTCTTCCTCCTCCGTTGGTTTTAAACGTGTGGTCGTAGTATGCTTTTCTGTGGTAGTTGTGTTTAGCTCCAGCACTAGGGGGCCGCTCTCGCTCCAAGGTGCTCTCAGATGTCGTGCTGGACGGGCTGCTGCCCTTTGACCCCAGATGGATGGTGGAGAGTTTGACGGAAGACGCCCCTTTCTGCTTCACCCCCTCAGTGACAACGGACATCCCCGGTATTGGGCGTTGGTGGTTAGACGGTGTTATATAGGAGTTGTTGTTTCGGGGCCGTCCAGCATGTTGCAAGCCTCTGGATCCTCTCTGTGACATCTGATTAGGCCTTCTGGCTTCCACTTCTGCTCTTCCTCCTCCGTTGGTTTTAAACGTGTGGTCGTAGTATGCTTTTCTGTGGTAGTTGTGTTTAGCTCCAGCACTAGGGGGCCGCTCTCGCTCTGAGGTGCTCTCAGATGTCGTGCTGGATGGGCTGCTGCCCTTTGACCCCAGATGGATAGTGGAGAGTTTGACAGAAAGGGTGGGAGAGGAACTCCGGGAGTCTGTCCATGGAGTGAGAGGGCTGCGATTGGGCGATCTCCTGACAGCGGCAGCATACGATGATTGGTTCCCGATGACGGAGAGGAACTGAGGGAGGGTCATCTTGCCTGTGGACTCCTGGGCAGCTTGCTCTCTCCACTGCTTCATTCTCAGACTGTAAATCCATCTGGGATCAACACCTGATCGAGGAACAGAATAATAGAATGAGAAACCGAGACATTTTCCATGGATATGCAAAATAGGGCTGAAAGGACATTTCATCTCAGAAGGTCAAACTAAGTATCATTGCAGCTGGTTTATTTATTGTACATTTCATCTGGGGTTTGCAATTTTTGCAACACTGATATCCAAATGTTTGTAATTGCTATTAGTATTTTTTATTTCCAAATACAACAGCCCAAAAATTGTAAAATAAAATAACATTTAAATAAAATAAAAAAATAAAAGCATACAAAATAAAGTAACAGGATTGCAAATCTTGCCCACATTAAGCTATTACTCAGTAGGAACTAGTTAGTTTACCTATAAATTAAAGATCATTTATTATTTTTCACTCAAAAACTTGATAGTAGGGTTGCATGACATCTGCATACAATGTACAATTTTGTTATATATATATATATATATATATATATATATATATATGTTTATAATTGTTATATATGACCCTGGAGCTAGACTTGTGCCGGTATTCGGTAATGCGATATATCACGGTAATGAATATGCACGATATTGTTATCGTGGGCACTTCTAAATACCGTGAATAATTAATACATCAATGGAAAGCTTATTTATTCAGCTTGATGATGTATACATCTCAATTTCAAAAAATTGACCCTTATGACTGGTTTTGTGGTCCAGGGTCACATATATGTTATATATTATGCATACACACACACACACACACACACACACACACATATATGTATATTTAAAATACAACTGTACAATTTATATATATACAGAACTGGTAGTTTACTTGAAAATTGTAGTCTGTTACTGATTCCAAACTGCATGAAAAATTGTAATATGTAATTGTAATACGTAATCATATAATCAATAAAAAAGTCTAATTTGAGTATTTTAAAATGTAATTGAATCTAATTACAAGTACTTAATTTTTTGGAATCTGATTACGTAATCCAGATTACATGTGATCAATTACTACCCAGTTCTCAATTGCTATATATTACATTGCCTTTCAAAAGAAAGTTCAATATAATTAATTTGAATATGACACCAAACAAGCTCTCTACTAATCAGTATTGTATTACCTGAGTTGGACCTGCTTCTGTTGTGACCTTCCCTGATGCTTGGCGCCGTCTCAATGAGCAGCTCTACAGGTCTGATCACGTCCCTCCCGCTGTCTGGACTCCACTGCAGTCTGTGCTCGTGTCTCGTGCACTTAAGAGATCTCACATTACCCTGGCAGGAGACAAGGCACCAGCTTAAACATGTCCCCTTATAACCTTAATGGCACATTTTGCATACAGATTGCAAATATACCCAATGAATTTTACACTGTTTAGAAAGTTGCACATAAAGAGTTTTCTTAAAAGCATACTGCTTGTGTATTTGACTCTCTACAATGACAAAATGTCCAGTGAAATGTTGACGTTGTATATTTAACATGAAATTAAAATAACTTTTTTGCTATTTACTTTCTTAATATGAGTTCCTACCCATGTGAAAAAGAAGTGTACTTAATTGTATTTCATGTGCACTTGAAATGTACTTTGAAACCTAAAATTATATATTTCAAAAGTGTTCATACTAATATTAATCAAAAAGGCCACTCAAGTTTACTTAAAGAGACAATTTCACGACTGTTTCTTCATTTTAAATCATTATGTTTTCATAATCTTTTGTCATGTTTTAAAGAAGCACACTTATTTTGATGTGTTGACTGACATACTAAATATATACATGTAAAGAACTTGAATATAATTTTAAATGCAGTGTGATATTGCATTTAAATGTAATATAAATGTACTAAATTGCAACATCATCATTACAATATATAAGCTTTGATCACAGGAATAAATTACATCGTAAAATATATTCAAATAGAAAACAGTTATTTTAAATAGTAAAAATATTCCACAATATTACTGCTTTTGCTGTATTTTGGATCAAATAAGCTGCAAGCTTGGTGAGCTTGTTCTTTAAACTCTAAAAAAAGCATTAAAAATCTTACTGTTCAAAAACTTTTGAATGGTATTGTAGATACACGACATACAAGTTTTAATAGAAAATATTAACAGTTTACCATAAATGTGTGTTTGTACATTCGACAGTACTCCATATTTAAAAGACAAGTTATTGTGAAATTACTATAATACATTTTTTTGCAATTAACATGCATTAATATTTAATAAAGCTTTCAGTTTTCACTTCAATACATATAATTATTAAAATATATTATTTTTGTAACAAGTGCTCTTTTTATGCTAAATAGTACATCTTTTCACACGGGTATTGTTGTTGTGCCCATTTGTGCACATTATTCAGAATCTTGCTCTGCCACTTTCCCTTTCAATTGTTGTCACCACCAAACCTATTCAAGTTTTTAACCAATAATCAAAATCAAGTCTTGTCTAACATTGTATTTCCTTACAGAATATGCAGTTTCACTCTGCAAAAATGTCACACTGCAGAATTGGTTGCACTTTATTTGACAGGATATGCTCTGCACTGAAAGTATTAAGTAATATAAAGTAACTACATGGACTTATAGGTTAGGTATAGGTTTTAATTACTACTTGTACTATAGCAAATATGTAGTAAGTACATTCAGAACACTATTTCATGTAGACTGTACTGTGGACCTAGTCTTTTTTGTTTTGGTACTTACCTCATAGTTTACTGTGCAGTCAACGGTTTGTGTGCCAGAAATCCCCACGATCCACTTATCCATCACAAACGGAGGCTGGAGAGTAATTTAGATTTTACCACAAACAGTAAAGCACATCAACCTAAGGCTGAAAGGCATGACAGCATCATAACAAGCATCTACTCACAACACATTTGAAACTTGTGTTGGCGGTTGTGAGGTTATGACACAAACATCTCTGCTATACGACCTCAGTCTCCTGCATTCCTCAAAACACAGTACAAACATAATGGAGATGTAATTTACACTGTTCCATGACATTTCTCACCTTGGTCATCTTTAATACATCTACATCTGGTCTGTTGGCATTAAAGGTCACGTCTTTGATATATGCGATTGCCACCTCATCCCCATCAAGCTCCATGTACATTTTCCATTTGCAGTCCTGCGGAGGTCAGAAATACAGAGATACACATGAGACAACAGTCGGTAGAATGAGGTTAAACTGTAGCATCTTTTGTAGGTAAATGTGGCCGAACAGAAATGTAGACCTGTATGATTTGAGCTGTTTGAGGGCGATATAACCCAACAGCATAACCTAGAGGACGATAATGTGTATTCAAATCACACGTGAGCTTTAATGGCTCTTTTTGCAAAGCACAAACCTGGGTGACACCACCCTGTACACTTTAATCTAAATAGATTTTCACATTTCCAGGTCAACAATTTTAAATCTAATTGCTTAGAAAAGTAATATCTCGATTTTCTAATTTTCTGAAGTAACACTTCTTTCCCATACAAAACTTGTGGGTGATTGCCAGGGTGCTGCTGAGTGTTTTTTTATTTATTTTTAATTTGGTTCTAGAGTGTTTTGGCTACTCTCAATTCATCTCTGTGATTCTGATCTTCGAACTCTATCTTTCAGTGTAAGTCTATAGGAATTTTTCAGGAATTGGTGACAGTCGTAAACACAATCACGAGTAGCAAATCTCAGTTTCATGATTTAAGATATCATTTAATGTGAGTGATGCTTGCCTGTGCAGAAGTCACCTATTCTGAGTGTTTAGCACGCTGCTATACAGCTCCTACGTAATTTTGGGTGGTTGCTCCCCTCTTGTCAAAGTATACTTTGTTATTTTTTTATGCATATACAGTAGGCTATATGTACAGTATTTGTGGTGGCAATTTCAACATCTGCATCGTAAATGTTCTGACAGATCAGTCCACAAGGTGACAACACTGATCTTGTACCATTGTCTAACAAGTCGAAAATCAAACAGAGGAGGCAGAACAACAACTGGAGACGGCAACAATAATAAACACAATACACATCCCAGTAAGAGATTGTAAGAAATCCACACAATTCTAGTTTAAACGAATACAAAGATATTTTTATTGGTGATAACTTCTGGAGAGAAATAGCGGGGACACTGGACAAGGATGAAACTTTCTAACTTTTTTAATCGTGTGTGTTATAATGCACGTGTTTCTGGCTCAAGTGATGTGCCGCACTGAACGTACTAATCACGCCGGTGTGATTGTATCAAATATAAAAAATAGTATTCGGCTATTTTTTGTCTTTTGGAAGCTGCATTCAAGCTGTACGCGCCCCCTCGGTTTGAATGGGCTCTGACGTCATGTGTAACGTGAAAGATTCAAAAATAAGTAACAACATAAAATTAAGATAAAAACATTAACAAACATCTCACACTCCGTTGTTTAGGACTAATACTCTAGAAACAGCTTCGCAAACAGTCTTTTCAACTACACAGCATTATTTCTGTCTTACAGTCATTCATATTATCACAGAAATACTGGGGTGAAAGTTTATAGTTCGGATACAAACATTGATATCTATGGTAGCGATCAAAATAGAGCGTATACCCTTTTGATAGTAACTGGCGATTCAAATAGCGTTTGTGTTGATTGCATCGTTTTGCCTCTAGGTGGCGACAAGTGACAGTTCAAAAATGTATTTGTCATTGAATCATTCATTCGAGATTCGTTCAAAAACGCTGATTCATCCCGTAATGAAACAAGTGTTTATGAGTGAGTCACTGAATCATTCATTCAAACCAATTTTTCATAATTTTAATATCGAAAATTGGTGTATTAAATATAGTATATTTTAAATACATATACTATATTCAAATGTTTAATAATCCATTTCAATTAATTAAGCACTTTCAAATAGACTGCAGCAATTAATATTTTCTCACACATTATTTTGTTTAGTTCAGAATCATGGGAGAATCGTGATCTCTATTTGAGACTCAGGCGATATGATACACCGCGGTACACTTTTCATTGCTTCTAGTTCATTTATGTTGGATTGGTGCATCTGGGCCTTGAATACGTACAATAGGACAACAGAAGAAAGCTTATAAATGGACACACTTAACACTAGCTTTTCGAGTGTTACAGATAATGTTGAACTTTGAGGTGTGGCGTGTAAACGTGAGAATGAATGTTTGAATGTCAACCGGTGTTCATTCACACACGCGTGTTTCTGAGACAGAATGATGTGAAGACTGAAGCTAAGAGATCAGAGTGCAGAGAAGCGACCGTGTTCGTAACATGAGCGGGAGACCTTAACATCCATTCTCATTCACATTAGCAATGGAGATGAGGCCCTTTTCTGAGAGGCCATGCAAGAAACGTCTGAGCCGAGCGCGCTGGGCAGAGCGGTAATGATCCATCCAATCTGCCAGCCCGGCGCCGAGGTCAAAGTTTACCGCTTAAAGCACGTGGCTGTTCACTTACACAACATCTCGACAGAGAACAAGCCCTCTTTCTCGCGCAAGAGGCGAGGGAGCGAGAAAAGGCAATCGTGAACGTGTGCCTGCTTGTTTTGGACGGGGCTTAAAGGCGTCCAGTAACACGTCAGCTGAGCGCTGACCAAGCGTTTGCCAAACGTTAGCCCTGCCTAATAGCAGCGGCAGAAACAATGTGCGGTAATGACGGCCAGCGTGGTAAGCGTCTAATGACACCTCATACATAATTCAGCACCTTTCCGGCGACTAAGCCCTGATATCCTCATTAACAGAAACACTCTGTGCTGTCAGATGGGCAAAGCACAATCGCTGGGTCTCATTTAGGCTTTGAGAAGTGCAGCTGGTACCACGACACCGCCAGGAAAGAGAGAGAGAGAGAGAGAGAGAGAGAGGGAGACGCAAAGCGAGTGAGCGAGCGAGCGAAAACGGCGAGAAAAAAAACCTAGAGCAGAGCGGGTTTGTTTTATTTATTGCAAAAAACCTTGCAGTTTGTAAAAACAAGGCTGACACGGAGGCTGACACCAGGCAGGGGAAAATAATTAGCTCTCATTTTCTCAGACTCCTGTTTCCTTCTTCCCGCTGAGCTTCCTCCCAACCAAACCACCACATGTCAGAGAAATAGGAGGCAATTAGCGGCCCCGCTTCAGCCCCGCCGCACGCCTTGAAAGGGGACTATTTATGATGGGACAATGAACAGCTGAAAGATTAAATAACATTTGCCTTTTAAAAAGAAAATGACTTCTGGCTAAATTTTTTATTAAATTCAAACGGCAAGTGAAGACACAGTCGCTCTCTTGTGTCAGGGGCCCAAACAAAGGCTCGCCAGCAAGAGGGGGTGGATGCTACGCGTCGTCTTGGATGAAAAATTATTTATCTCTCGCGGCCCTTTTTAAGAGAACAAAAAAGAGGAACAAAAACAAGAGGCTTGGGAACGGAAAATGCGTTAGCGAGACGGTGGTCAGTCTTCGGAGGAGGCCGATAACAGGCATCATTTACTTGAGGAAGACAACTTCAAATCAAGGAGCACAGCAATTGTGACAAAACATCTCAGTTATCACGTCTCCAACAAAAGCCCCCTGTTAACGCGGCAGATGTTACACAGACAGAGATGCAAAAATGATGATGGTAAATAACAAAGAAATCTTAGGGCTTAAAGAGAACCACAAACAATGCAATTACTTTTTTAAGTGATCGGACATGAGTCAATGGCAAGAGAAAATCTTTTATTTCTTGGAAATGTAATCATCTTGGTGCCATTTCCAATTTAAAATGTGGTGTAAACATCAATTTCATGAATGCATGTGATTGTCCACATCTCATTAATTTCCAAAAAGTTTTAAAATATATTTCAAGTTATTTATTAATTTATTTTTTACAAATATCAAATAATTTTTTTAACTCAGGAACGTCAACGTTTTTGGGGGAGTCGCACCGCATGACATTTTTCAACCTGAACTAACGCTGCCTTGTCATAAAATGTTTTTTAAGAGACATATCATTTTCTTTTTACATTTTTTTTTTCTGCATACCTCTGCTTGTTAGTTGGACCACATGACTATGATTTGACTTTTGAAATGTTTCAAAATTGAAAATTTGAAGTTTTTAAAATGTTAATAAGCAGTGAATCAGTTTTGATAAGTATAAGTTATAAAATAAAAGAAATTAAATTAAAATATAAAGCATTACTTATTTTCTATATTGTTTTTTATGCCTTAGTACTTAATAAGGTTTTCTTAATAAGCCTTTTTCTTCATTATTGATTTCAGGGCAGTTTTATCACCCTATGTTTGATGTTATGCTCCGAAAATATCACAATAAAATTTAATGCAGAAATTAAACAGCATTTCTGAAGTATTTTTGAATTAATTAATAGATATGACAAAAACTACGCATTACGTTACCGCCTACAAAACCCGGGCAACCACTCAAAACACTCAACTGCATAACAGCATCTTGTGAGCAACATAATAAAATGACGCCAAAACCAAAGATCACATGGATTCAGTTTTGTTTCATAGATTAATCAGTAACTATGACACACATGATATGCAGTGTTGTAATTTACCGTTTGGCCTGTGCCTGCTTTCCAGTGATATCCAAACACCAACTCCAGATTCACAGTCTTTGTCCACTCCTCCTCTGCTTCCTCCGTGGCCAAACCATCCTGAGAGAGGATGTACAAGGAAATACATTAGCTGTGACCGTAACGGATGAGGAAGAATTCGGCTAAAGCAACGTAGAGATTATTCAAATGCAAATTCATGTCAACTCTGATGTAAAAGAAGATCTAGAAAGCGATGAAACCACAAAGACCACATGCCTTGATCAACGGCGGAAAGTGGAACAGGTTCAGGTAGTCGTGGGTAAGTTTCTCAATTTCGGTCTGAAAAAGAAAGATTTGACATAATGTTTAAAAAAACCACGAGAGGGATTTATGCAGCGCACTGACAATCAGCCAATGACCAGCTGTGTGTGAATGTAACGTAATTATTACCTGTTAATGGACTTTAAGCAGCAAAACAACAATTAATACCATTGTGTATCACTTATGAACATATAATTCGTGCTCTGGCATATGTCATATACATCTAGAGTAATTAATTAAACAAATCAGGCTCTCTATGGAGCACGCACACGAATGCCTTACACAATCAGACGTGTGATATCCCAGAGGAAGAAAAATTATTTCTCAGAGGTTGCTCTTTCAAAGCATAGCAATATGATATAATGGAGTTTCATTTTAGTACAAACGCTGTCACGGATATTTCTAGAATTCCTTGGCGGAAAAAAAAAAAAAAAGTCCAAGACGCAGATCAGTCGATTGTTGAAATCAAGTATTAAGCTCCAAAACGAACGTGGCATCTTCATATGAGTTCATATTGGGATCTTGGCTTTTCTGAGCACAGTTTCAGCTTTGTTGAAAACTAGAGGATATATATATGTCATTTTTTTTCTCCAAAAATGACAATGATTCAGTTCAATAAACAAGAAGTTAATTAAGAGACTTACGTTTTAGACACCATATGTCCTGTTTCTGCGCTATTTCGACAACAAAAATAATTCCAAACACAACCACAGCGCTGTTTTGTGTCTCTGAGCAACATGACGGTGTTTCGTTCCTGAATGAATCAACCGTTTAAATGATTCGGTTCAATCGCAATGACTCACTTATTAACAGTGACTTGCTGCCACCTACTGGCAGTTTTAATTTCACATTTAGAGTATCTTTTATTATTTAAATAATTTCAAATATCAGTATTCAAAAGATAATGTACACTTTTAGAAAAAAAATGGCTTTATAACGGTCAAAATGCCCATAAAATGTAAAAATCAGTTAAAACTTATTGGAAAAGATGAATTTCTATCAGTGTGAACTGACCACTGCACAGAATATGAAGAATATCAAAAACTTTAGGAGTCAGCTGTCCACGGCAGTCCTTAAGGTACCAGCACAATAACACACTCAGCAAAATATCGTCATCCATAAAATCCCAGAAAATTATCGAGATATTCTTTTTTGCCAATATCGCACACCCCTAGTAGACACACCAAATATTAAAGTTAAAAGTGGATAAAAACAGTACGACTCACTTCATCTGATATTTGCTGTGCTCAGAGCAACCATCTGCATGTTTGTTTCATGAACATCATGAAATAAAACCATGTTTTGGAGGCAAAAAAACACCTGAGTCAGGTGTTCTAACAATTTTGGCCACCACTGTATAATGTTCGAAATAATCATCAATGCCACAATAAATAACAAAAGTAACGTTATTATTTTAAATATCACTCTTTAGTGTGCCAGTACATTTAAATGTGTGCCAAAGAGCTGTTTAGTGCATTAGCACTTAAGAGTGTCCTGGAGGAAGCAGCCTGGTACCTTGAGATGTATGATGTGTCCTTTAGACGTCACACCCAGATCTCTCATGTCCGTCTCGGACAGCAGCAGCAGTCTCTGTCCTGTGATGTGATTCTGCTTGAAGATTTCGGCGTACTGCTGCAGCTCTCCATCACCTACACAGCACACACGCTTATGTTTCTGTCCTAGCAGGGACTCTTTCACTTAACTGCATCAATGTTTATTGTTGTTATACTGACCTAATGATATTTTGTATCCTCGAACCCTTTACCGAAAAAGCTAACCATCAAAGACACCATTCTGGATTTGTATTTGAATATACACTACTGTTTGAATGTTTAGTGAAACAAGTCTCATGCTCACCAGGGCTGCATTTATACAGTAAAAAGAGTAATATTATGAAATATTATTACTATTTAAAATAATTGTTTTCTATTTAAAAATATAATTTATTCCTGCGATACAAAGCTGAATTTGTAGCATCATTACTCCAGTCTTCATTGCATGATCCTTGAGAAATCATCGTAATATGTTAATTTGCTGCTCAAGAAACATTATGTTGAAAACAGGTTTCGCTGCTTAATATTTCCAGGGTTCTTTGATGAGTAAAAAGTTCCAAAAACAGCATTTATTTCAAATAGAAATCGTTTGTAACACTGTGAAAGTCTTTACTGTCACTTGTGATCAATTTAATGTGCCCTTGTGGAATAAAAGTATTAATTTCTTTAAAAAAGAATCTCACTGGCCCCAAATTTTAATTTTGTATAAATATAAATATAAGTATGATGAAGAATCTCACCTTGAAAAATCTGCTCCATCCAGAAATGCTGTAAAGTATGCAAAATATGTAAAAAAAAAAAAGAACAAAAATCTAAAGGTGAAGTCTGATCAGATCAGCTCTGTTGAGAAATATTCTACCCACCACATGTTCTTCTGTCCAGGAGTGGATGGCCAGGTTTGGGAGAAGCTGTCAAACACAGACAGAAGCACAGAAAGACTCACGTGTGCACACAGCCTACATTAATATCAGCACAGAGAAGTGCAGATTTATCAGTATTATCAACAAGACCGATTGGGTACCCTCACTCAATTCATACATTTTTGATTTTGTCTTAATACAGTATATGACGCTCACTTGTAATGAAAAAATAAAATATTGGTGTGATCCCTTATTTACATATGTGTAAAAATATGCATTATAGAAGTAGTTTTAATGCATTAATTATAACTTTTATGCACCTTATAATGCATTGTGTAAACCCCAGGAATAACTGTAACACAGTTATATTGCAATATAATACTTATCTATTCACTGTTACAACTTTAGAAAGTATAATGCGTTAAAACACGTGACAAACAAAGCTTCAAATATTATAATGCATTTGGTTAGATATAGATATAATGCATTACAATGTGCATTATCTTTATATTGCATTCTACATAAAGGCTTGAAGTAAAGTGTTACCAAAATGATGTTAACAATAACTGTTGTTAGATGCTATTTTTCACATGTTCTCATCCTGTGTTTCCAACATCTACTTTCTATATTAGCAAATACTTAAGCTTTTGCTAAAGTAAAAGCTAGCGTTTTGTTTTTATTATTTTGTTTTTGAATCACATAAACTATTATTAAAAGAATGAGAAATTGTATCCTATGTGCTTAAGGTAATGAATTATTCTATAAAATGTCTTCAAAATTATAAGAGCACAATCCAGTTCCATCAGATTGTTGCACAATATATCTCAAGTCAATATTAATCATCTGTCAATCAGTACAGAAAGGTATTACAGTCTCACTTACATCATTGATATGAGAGAGATTTCTTATAGAGAAAAGACATTTTTGCAGGGATAAATATAAAAACAACATATCTGACACACCAGTGAACAATGAGGAATGAGGGAAATAATATCAGTATTTTTAATGGTGTCAGAACTAATGCTCATTTTTTAATTTGGATTAGAGATGTCAATATGACCAGGTCATACTAAAACGCACTGTGATGAACTCAGTGAAAAAAATAAAAAAATAATTCAAGATGGCGGGTATGAAATGTGGCTTATAAATACATTTTAATAAGAACCAATACAAACAGGCACCAATTCAATCAGTGCGAATAATTATAAGAACCCTCATGTATCATTATTTAGATGATAAACAGTCAAACTAGTTTAAAGCTTTCACCTGCTCAACATTTCCTTTATTGTACAACTTGTTTGACCATCCCTTGTGAAAAAAAAGGTACACATTAACATACTTTTACAAACAGTACTTGTTAAATAATATACTTTACAAGAATATACTTGTGTGCAAACTGAATGTAATGTTTTTGGACATTGATAATTGAACTTCAGAGTGATTTTGACCCACTTAAGTAGGACTTAAGTACATCTTTACATGTAATTTCATAACTCTGTTGTCATTGAAATATGGTTAAAGTACTGCTGAATGTACTGGCAAGCATTTATGATAAACTAAATATAGTTGTATACAGTCAGTTCTCTTGAAACTTGTATGCCATGTATTTAAATATATTTGCAGTTATACATTGAAATGACAAAGCTGTGTTTTAGTATATTTCAAATAAATTAAATGTAATATCAAACAACATGCAACAGTTAAGCGCTTTACATGTCCTTTAGTACATTACTCAACATCAAAACAAGCGCACTTATTAAAAGTGTGTTTAGAAACATGAAAGTGCACTCTCATTAAATACGCTTAAGTGGCCTTTTATTTCATTAAAGGGGTCCTATTATGCTTTTTCACTTTTTCAACTTTAGTTAGTCTGTAATGTTACTGTTTGAAC